CCCCCCTCCCCCCTCCCCCCCGCTACTGCCTCTGCAACATAGGTTGTTGCAGCCTTTATCCACAGGGCGCTGAGACCCCCCGGGGACAGGGATTGCTGCTGGCCCAGCCTCTGTCTGCGGGAGGTAGAGCAGCCTCTGTCCACAGGGAGCTCAGACCCCTCGCAGTCAGGGGCTGCTGCCACAGACAGACCTCTCTCCGTGGTCAGCCTGGGCCGCTGTGGACAGATGGTGCTTCGCAGCAACCTTCCCTATCCCCTCCCTCAACAGCAGCCTCTGTCTGCGGGGAGCTTGGACTGCCCCCATGGACAAGGGCTGCTGCCACCCTGCGCTGCTGCCTCTATCACACCCAGCAGCAGGCAGCTGATCCGCGCAGGGAGCTGGTTTTTAAACCGGCTCCCCTTGTGGACCGGCTCCCACCTGCCACCCTGTGCTACTGCCTCTGATACAGCAGCAGGACAGGGTGGCAGGAGGTGCCAGGAGCACACTGGTTGCCAGCCCTGCTCCTGGGGACTATCAAATAGTCTTGTAACTGATAAAATTTCATGCGGTTACACAACTATTCAATTACATTGTAATGAACATCCCTAGAAACCACATGTGGCTATTTGGCCGGTTGAGTGTGGCTAGTTCGCTACAGAAATGGTTGGACACCACAGATCTAAAGTTAATTTTCAGTGTTCAGTATTTAACAAAATATCTATGAAATAAGAGCAGCATATAAAAGTGTACGTCAATAGAGACACTAACTAGAGGCCCAACTGCTTCTTATTTAAATGTATAGCTCTGTATTTCTCTATATATGGCGAACGATTTATAATTAAGTGCAGTAAAAATAAACTAACCGTTGCAACAGAAGGTCTACAAAGTCTCCGAAAAAATTAAAACAGACCAAATAAAAGATCTAGCCAGTTGGTGCGACACTTTGCCATGTAGTAAGGGCTTCGTCCTTACAGACAGAGCCCTGCAGAGATACAAAATTTTGTATCTGCAAAAATGAGCCACGGAATCCGCATTCACATCCACGAATGAGGATACCCGTGGGTATAAAGCAGATAGCTGCAGATTTGCAGGCTCAATTTACCACAGAGCTTAGATGCCTGTCATTTTCAGCACCTAAAACCCAGAATCAGGTTTCACTAGATTCAAAAAACCATGCTCAGCAGCCTACACTCACTCGGTCACTTACTTTTTTTGCATTTAATGTTACAATGCCTCTGAATGTCTGGTATCTGGACATTTAAGGCCAAGCACAATGCAATAACTGGGGAAATACAGGTGTTCCATCACCTAACTCCTTATATGGCCTGATCTAATAAGGGTGCTCATAGCTCACCTACCCCACTGGGTGCCTATAGATGAGCTTACTAAAAATGATGTGGGGAGGGGAGGAGGAGCTCCCTTAAATTTAGCCCTATGGTTGGGGTTGTCATGTGGGATATTAGAGACCTTTTGGTTCAAGTACCCCCTCCTCCTGAGAGGGAGGAGGGATTTGAAATGGAATCTGCAAGTTATCTGAGTGGGCTACAGGATATTCTGATTTGGGGCTCCCTCATCACAAGTACGAAGTACTGCTAAGTATCCCATATAGGCACTATTTGCCTCTTATTATACATGTCGGGTTAAAAAATTATGCTTATTGTTTACCTTTGATCTATTTTTCTTTGTTGCAATACATCTTTAATGTTGGCCATTCTCACAAGAGCACTCCCATTCGAGTGATTCCAGCACCAAAACTAACAAAGACAGACAAACTGTTAATATTGCTTAACAAGATGAGTATCTACATATAATACACAAAACATATTCACTCATATCACTGTCGTGAACACTGCCCAATAATAATGATCAGCAACAGAATAAAGTTCATACTTACTGGCATTCGTCGCCCAATAAAAGAGTACGAATAGAGCTTTAGATCTTGATCTGCTAAGGAAGATGGGACTACAAAGTATTCTGGAAGGCTGGGGAGAGAGGGGAGATACAAACACAAATAGTTATCTTTCTTTCATGTGCTTTATCTAGTTTTCTGGAAATAAAAAGGTTGCAATCTAGAAGACATAACAAGGAATATTAGCGCAGAATAACAATCCATGTTAATTGGGCTACGTTTGATCACAGTGTAGCAATAGTCATTCATGATACTAGTACTTCTGGTATTTTCCTGGAGGGGCCACACACACTTTTAGGTCCCAGCCTTGCAATGACTTGGATAGCAGAAGGCAAAACAAAAGATACAACCTTTGCATTCTGTCCTTGGCTGCAGCGGTGTATGTATACGGGGAAAGGACAAAGGGGGACATACATCTCCTCTCCTCCAACCAAAATATCTAAATGCATGTCAAAAAAAAATATGACCCAAACAGGAAGTTAAATCCAGAGTACCACTTGCTGCACTGGTAGTTTACCTGTCTTAGGGCGTGTCTAGACTACAGGATTTTTTCAAAAAAAAAAAATTGGCCTTTTTTCGAAAAAACTTCCTCTGTGTCCAGACTGCTGCCATGTTCTTTCGAAAGTAAATCGAAAGAACGCAGCAGTTTTTTCAATCGCGGAAAACCTCGTTTTACGAGGAAGAATGCCTTTTTTCAAAAGTGCTCTTTCGAAAAAAAGCGCTATGTAATGCAAACTGTACTTTTTCCAAAGAGAGCATCCAGACTGCCTGGCTACGTCTACATTGGCCCCTTTTCCGGAAGGGGCATGTTAATTTCAGCGATCGTAATAGGGAAATCCGCTTTGAAGTAGGAATAAGATCCTCCGGAAAAGGGCGCTTTTTCCGGAGGATCGGGGCCAGTGTAGACGCTCTTTTCCGGCTTTTCTAAAAGCCGGAAAAAAGCGGCGGACATTTTTATTTAAATGCCGCGGGGGATATTTAAATCCCCCACGGATTTCCCTACTACGATCGCTGAAATTAACATGCCCCTTCCGGAAAAGGGGCCAATGTAGACGAGCCCCCTGGGTGCTCTCTTTCAAAAAAGTGGCTTGCTTTTTCCAAAGTACTGGTTATATTCTAGACCAGTGTTTCTCAAACTGTGCTCTGTGGAGCCCCAGGGCTCCGCAAGACATCTTCAGGGGCTCTGCGAGGTTGACAAACTGGAAACATCAATTGTATGCCCACACATACAATCAGTGGACAGCTGGGGCTCCAGAGCCCAAAAAGTTTGAGAACCGCTGGTCTAGATGCTCTTTTTTGAAAGAGGCTTGCAGTCTAGACGTAGCCTAGGTGCTGTAATGAACCAGCCAACAGTGCTAAATGATTATCTATGTCTATGAGGGAAGACAAAGAATTGGGCTTGTTTAGTTTGGAAAGGAGAAGACTGAGAGGGGACATAATAGCGGTTTTCAAGTATCTAAAAGGGGGTTACGAGGAGGGGGGGACATTTTAGGTTTAGGTTTGGACATTGGGAAAAACTTCCTGTCAGGGTGGTTAAACACTGGAATACATTGCCTAGGGAGGTTGTGGAATCTCCAACACTGGCGATACTTAAGAGCAGGTTCTATCAGGGATGATCTAGATGGTGCTTGGTCCTGCTGTGAGGGAAGGGGACTGGACTTGATGATCTATCGAGGTCTTGTCCAGTTCTAGTGTTCTATGATTCTATCCTATCCCACCAGGGGATCTGATATTCAAGTGTGGCAATTCATGAATGGTGCATATAAATTAGTGTGTAGAGAAGCACTTCAGCTGCAACAGTCAGTATTGATCAAACTGATCTCATTATTTTGTTTCATGTTATAAAACTTCAAATTTTGCTAATTTTTCTTTTACAGGCATGCACCTTTGTGTTAGTTTACACAACAATAATAGCTTATACCACAAGGCTAAGAACTGTAAAGAATACAGTAAAAACAAACTGATTTTTTTTGTCACTTAATTTGATATGTGTTAGTCAGCTAGAGAAGGGTTGGGGAACCCAAGGCCCAGGGGCCACATGTGGCCCCTGGGTTTCCTGGATCTGGCCCCTGAGGCTTAGGGTCACCCCCGGCACTGGGGAGCACGCGCTGGCACTCCATCCCTCCTCCCCCACAGCCCGTGACTGATTTTTCTGTGGGTCAGCAGCCCCTGACACAAAAAAGGTTCCCACCCCAGAGCTAGGAGATACACAAGAGACTCAAGTTGCTCCAACTCTGGGAGCATCTCTTCAAGGAGTCTGCCTCAGATATCTTTATAGACATTTTTTTTACAAATGCTCATCTCTTATCAGAATACATCTGGTTTTGCCCCCAAAAAGAATATCTGATCTGTTGTGGGACTGCTAGAACACCAAAGTGATCCCAGAGTCAAATTTTCTTGATTTTCTTTTTTCAGTCTTTGTTTAAACTTACCAAGTAGATATCATGTAACCTTCATTGACTGAACAAACTCTCCATTCTGAGGCACCTGTTCTTTTGATCTCTCTATCCCAATCAGAGTACGTTTCAAATAAAGGCGTCTGCTGACCGCTGCCACTGCCCCCACCTCCTGGGTCTATTCCATTTACAGTTGCTAGGAAAAGGAAAATAATCAATGCAAGATTTTTAAGAACATCCTTTCAACTAAAACATATCAACACTATACCCAGATAATAATAATTGCCTACTAAATACACGACTTTTTTTTTTAAGGGAATTCTATATTAAAAGTTAGAAGTTTTTATTCTTGTAGTTCAGTTACCATCTGCCACTAAAAGTAAAGATTCCAAGAATGGATTGACTGATTCCAGGTCAGGACTGCCTTGTCTTCCCTTCCACAGTTTTAACATTTTTCTTCAGGGGTTGCTTTCTAGGCAAACTATTACGTACAGACAGAAGAGGTGGGAAAGGCTTTTTTTTTGTATTAATACAAAGACTAGGGTAAAATACTCAGTTAAACTCAGCTGTTCTCTCGTTATATGGTACAAAGATGGTTAACCATGCTAAGTGGAATTATAGTACATTTTGTTTTGTGAAACTTTGAGTTAATTTTATTTTAACAGTAAACAAATTACAGAAATTTAGCCGCAGTCTTAAAACACGATCCATGTGTGAAGCCTCTTTTGCTGACAGTGGGAGTCTGCAAGGACATAAGGCTCTGTACAAGCAGGTCAGATGGCAGGATTATGGCCATATCATTGCCCCTATAAATCTACACCTGCTGTTTACAGACCAACAATTTAATCTTTTCAGTGGTACTGAAGCACACTCTCGTTTTATGCTTTCCAAAATAAACCTATATCAAAAATCAGAGTAGACATGGTATTAATGCTCCAAACACCACCCAGTATACAGTTATTTAAATGGGGCAAAGCTTCAATCCTTTATCACATCTCCTATTATCTACGTAAATACAAATTTCCAGTGTAACAATCACCACAGTAGGAGAGGGGAGAAATAGAGATTATACCCTGGAGAAATGGCACCTCAAAAGATAATTTAATTGTTTTCTTTTTTGTTGGTTTCCAGCTGGTTTAAAGATATTTACATTAGAATTTAACATGGAAAAAGTTAAATTCAAGAAAGCAGCCTCTTTAAATTTCGCTCATCATAAAAATAATGCTGATGCCCAGATAATTTGTTTATGCTTCCACTTTATTTCCTAAGTATATTATAAAATAAATAGGACATGGACAAGTCCTGCAGATCTGATCTAGTTTCAGAGTAGGTCACAAATGAAGTTTAATTTGATAATCTCATTTTATCATCTGTGCACATCACAAAAATCATATTGCATAGATTTATAGCAGGAGTGAGAGTCTCCGTCCAGTGGTCCCAGAAGCGGAAGAGCAGGCTAGGTACTGATGTGCAACGACAAAACCCTGCTAGGAAGTTTACCAAAATGTTAAGCCAGTTCTATTAGTCCAATATTTTTAAAATCTCTATATTCATTCATGCATTAAAGAGAAAACATAAAACATTGGGAATCCTGCAAAAGATCTGAAATCAAATTTTCAAAGGTAATTAGGTGTAATTACCAGATTTTCAAAGGTAATTTTAGGTGTCCCAGCATAACCAGTTACTGGGATTTTCAAAAATCTCTTAAGAGTTGGGCACCTATCCTGCTAATGCATTTAGGAATCTGGCCCTTTACTCCAAATATTTTTTTTCCAGGGGGAAGGAAGGTTTGGGAAGGGAATTAGGGGAACTTCAACTTTTATCTGAATTCAGAATAGTGAAGTATATATGCATGCAATAATTTGCTTCTCCCTCCCTCTTTCAGGGAAGTTGGAAAAAAAAATTCTCAGTGGTGGATTTTTTCTGCTGTTTTTTCACAATAGGAATTACTAATACTATCAATACTTGGGGTAAAAAGGCACTGGGAAGAAAATGCAACGCCATGTTCTTCCATGCAAAAGCACAGTGAAAAGGAAGAAATAAATGGACAAATACTGCAGCTTCCACAGTTCATGGGACTGGCAGGAGTACTGAGTGGGTAGAATGCAGTGCTAGAGAAGGGACCAGAGCGCTAAAGAATCCCTGCCATGACCACACCTTGCTATACAGTGGGATTTCCCCCCCTAACCAGCCACCTCTTCCGTGCAGCAAGATCACTACAGTGGGATTTCCCCCCCTAACCAGCCACCTCTACTCTAAGCCACTTCCGTGCAGCAAGATCACGGTCTCTGGTTCAATCTAACTCTAAAGGAGCAACATTCACACACTGCAGATTTTACCCCTTTTCTACAGCTCTTCCACTGGTCTCTTCCTTTCCCATGTGGCACATGGATACTTGCTGGATGGAGTAAAAAAGCAGCTCTATGGAGGCGGTAGTGGACCCAGCATTTTGTCCGTCTGTCTCTGTCTCTACACTTCCCAAACTTGCTAACTATTGCACTAAGAAGCTGGAGGAAGAAATTGGACCTTAATTAAGTCCCTTTTCATATAAATTGCCCATTTTCAAGTATCTACAACTAGGACCTTTGACATATTTGTGCATGCACACTGGACTCAATGCAGGCACATACAGAAATAAGCATCTTTTAAACATGCTTGAAAATTTGGAGCTGTAATTTCACAACATTCTTCTGTAGTAGGCTGTTCATTTGTTGTGACTGCAAATGGCAGAGTAAATAAAAGTTTCAATGCAACTGAAACACATCTACAGCACTTTCCATTTTTGCAGGCTTATTGTGATGGAATTTGTAGCTGTTAGCTGTGTATTGGCTGGGGAGCACTAAGCAAAGACTTTGCAGCGTTAAACTAAAAACCAAGTTCCAAAGGCATCTGTTCCAAGCTTACCTAACTGACAAGATTCAGTTGGAGACTGGCCTTGAGCAGAGGGTGTGCTCCAACTCAGCAGGGGTGGTAGAAGATTTGAGTGGGAGGCTATACCTAGTAAGCCTCTAGGAAAGGAGGTATGGAGTCCCAAGTTGCACAAATCCTCCTGCAATACCACCAGAAGAGACACTTATTCCCGACAGAAGGGCAGGTGAACAAACCTGCCTGAAGGGGGATTATCTAGGTGCCCAGAGTATCAATATAGATGCATACTAGAATGATTCAAGGGTGGAATGGGAGATAATGGCACTCATGCTAGTACGGATAGTTTTGTTTTGAATAAAGATAAGATTGTTTTGTTTCTGATAATAAATTACCATCTCACTGATTAATTTATACACAGAAAGTAAGGAATGCTCAGGTACATTGTAAATCAATGTAAGTCATCTTCCAGGGCAAACTTCAAAACACTCTTGTCATTGCTTTTGGCTAAAAGTAAGCAACCTTATTAATATTAGAACTCATGCACATACTAAAGAATGGACAAATATTTACATGGTTACCTGGATTATGATACTTTTCCCCAACAAATTCAAATGCAAAGAGGAGCTGAAGATCTGTTGGCTGGGAATAATGTGCTATTGCAAGGCACACCTAGAAAAAAAAATTATTTTTTTTTACTGTTCAGAATTATTGAATATAAAAGTATTCTAGTGTAACAATCAAAATATCTGTGGAAGAAAAGGATTGATTACCAGGAATGATGGCACTGTAACCATATAACAGAAGGCAAATTTAAAAAACCAGTCTGACGTATTTCAAGATTTGACCCAAAAGACAGACATGATATATTTTGGTATTTGGTTAAATTGGCTAATTTGCTGGAAAGTGATTTATCAGCCAAGACAGGTGAATTTTGGACCTTCCACCAATACTGCCTCAAAGTTAGACTGATTTAGTTTTTAGCAGAAAGGTTAGCCAGCTGTAGGACTCCCCCCCCCCAAATTCTCTATATAGACAACAACACATTGGATGTGAGCTACTCTGCTGGAATTTCTATGTCCAAACAGGAGAGAAAGGAGCACAATGGGGTTCCACTCTTGGTTGATCCTTAGACACTACAAAAACACAAATACAATAAAAAAAGAAAATAAATACAAAAGTCTTGCATATCAGAACCCAACCCTCACATTATTTCTTCAAACAGCAGCCTCCCATTTTTACTTCTAACGCCTGCCGGAGTTATGTCAACACTGCAGCAAAATAAATCCCATTAATTGATGCAAGGGACAGATGACTCCAAGGCTTTTGGAGAAGAAGTAAAGGAATTATCAAGGAATAAGGAATGGCCAAATCTCCATTATGATGTGGGTGCTCTTCTTCCTAATTACTTGTTTTGTTTTTCACACGTGCTAAACACTTCAAGTTTCCCATAAACTCACAATTTCAACCTCTCTGAAAAAAATCAAGGTATTGTATTATTTAGACCAGACAAGAGGATTTATAGTTAGTTTGATAGATCAGTAAATGATGTCTCTCTCATTCCCTATGTGGTCTTGAAAATAATGAGAGCTAGATTTCAGCCTAATGATAACTTTGGGTCTTGCCCTTAGAAATTCCACCTCTAGCAGAATGCGATTTAATCAGACAAGGAAACACCTGCTTTACCATATAAGACTGCCAGCGCGTCCCAACATGTTTTCTAAGAACAAGAGAGTGATTAGAATACACCGTGCTGAGTCACTTCCCCTGCCCTAAGATGGGTACTACTTCAGAGCATCAAAACTGTAGAACAATTATTTCCTCAACACTGCAGCATAAAAAGTTGTTTCTACAACATCAGAAGTTAATGTGACAGAAGGCAGGACGCTTACTAAGTTAAGGCTACACACAATTCAAAACACAAAATACAAGTATTTGTGTTTACACATGAATAGTACCAATGAACTCAAGGGGAATTTTCATATAAGTTGAGAAAGTTCTAAGCATCCAGGAGCAGGCCCTAAATTTCAATTGTAATTTATCTCTTTCATTCTTTAGCTCCAAAACTTGGTACCCAACATGGATAAAACAAACTGTTTTCCTTTTGATCAGAATGGACAGAAGTAAACAGTAAAGGCCAAATCTTAGGAATGAAGCAAAGCCCTTAAAATCCACCTTTTATAGTCAATAAACGTAGTTCTTGTTTATAACAGAATCCCGTTTGTACAATCCATAATGGGGAAGGGGGAGCAGACTGTGCGTACCTTCATCCACACTAAGGGAAGAGGCAGATTTCACAACATACTTTGCGTCTGCACTCCAAGGGGGATGGACACCCGAGTGCTAGAGCAAGTCCCTTAAGAGGAGTCTCTCCAGAGTTGATCTCAGTCTCTGTGGTTCTGCATTTGGGTGCAGCCCTATGTGCTCCCTAGAGGAAGCTTAATAGCCTGGCTCCACAAGACAGGCAGAAAGGGTGTCCAGGCCACAACAGGCAGATTTCGTGGTATCTCAGCACATCATGTGGTGTCCCAAGGGGGGCAAGTTGTCACAATATTTAATGAGGTTTTCATATACAGTGAAGCAAACAACTGGAACATACAAGACAACAACTGCCAATTCAGGCTCTGATTCTGTAATATGATCTGACAAGGTGGACTGCTGTATCAATATGGACCCCCAATGAAACAAATCGCCTTGTGCTGATCATAGTACAGAGCCATGGTGTCCAGCATGCTAGCCACGTTCGGCTAGTTTAGTGTGGCTAGTTCGCTATAATTCAGAACTGGTTGGACACCACGGGTTTAGAGGCATGGCCTTTCTTTCTTCCATGTAAATTTTAACATTTTATTCTGAAATTAACAGCCTATCAAGGAACATTTTATTTGCTGACAAGCACTAAAGTCACAATCGTACTCTATTTATTCCTGGCTATGCAATTCCATATAGTAGCGCTATTGTCTGGGACTTTAAAGACAAGCAAATTCCACAGTGCTCAGCAGAAAGCTGTAAGAATCTGAAAGCACAAACTGGAGAACAAAGATGTTTTACAGTAAGTATTCTTGTGCCAAACTGATAAACATTCAGTATTTTTGCCAACTGAATTGCACAAAAGCAAAGATATTTAGAAACATTATTCAAAAACCAGAACAGTTTTTGTTTGTAGGAGAAATCACTGATTAAAAAGTAAAAATAATGGACTTAATTGCCTCTATTAGTGCTCATGCTTGCAAATTGCATCTCCCTGGACTAGCAGTTCCCCAAGAGCAATTCCACATTTTGGAAATGCAGGTGATGTTTGCACTGCAACCCTCTGTACCAGGTTTCTAGTAGCTCTATTTTAAGATCTAAAGGAAGCTGCTGGAGGCATGTACCAGACAAGCACCTCCCCTGGTTGTGTAGTCATTCAACTCCCCAGGCCACACCACTGGCTTTTATGGTTGCAGTCTCAGGTACGGGACAGTCTTGGCACTGCAACTGTCCACTCAAGGAAGAGCTTTGCCAATGGAAAGACATGTAACAAGAACTAAATCATGTTCCATAAATATAGTTTATTAATGTTCCATATTTGCAAATGTTCTCTTGGCATAGTGAAATAAACACCCTCTTGACCCCAATATACACCTACAGGCAGTCCCCGAGTTACGCGGATCCGACCTATGTCGGATCCGCAGTTAAGAACGGGGATTTTCTTGCCCCGGAGGACTGGAGCGGCGGGACGCCTGGTCCTGCCGCCCGCCTCCTCCGGGGCGAGAAAAGCTGCTCCCCATCTCCCTGGTCTGCTGGGGGATCAAACAGACCAGGGAGACGGGGAGCAAAGCGGCGGAGGACCCGGGCCGGACCCGCGGCGCTTCCC